GATTTCCTAAGGGAGTATAATTATAAGGCTACGAACTAGCTTAAATTCAGGCAACTGTTGTTTCACACTGATACTTTTCAATGCGTATGTTGTTAGTTTATAGACAAGGAATTTTAATTATGAGCAGAGAAAGAACAAACGTTGGTGCAGAATAATATGGATCTATTTTATCTACTTGGTTCTCATCAGCTGCATACAACCCATGATCTTTAATAAATAGGAGTCAGCGTAAAATTTTAACATACTTTTGTCATCAACAAGCATATTATAAAACTGTCATGGTGAGGCATAACATCAAGATGAGAAGGTAGCTGAAGTGTAAATATACATATATCTTGTCAGAGAAAAGTCTTTAGAAAATTAATTGACAAGTTTTTTGCTAGGGTGGTTAAAAAGATTAGTAACAATTACATGGTTAGATAAGAGAAGATCAAATCTGGTGTGCAAAAGGTCAGATGAAAAGATGATGATGTTTATATTGTGTGTAGAACCCATAAGGTCAGGAAAAAATGATCTGTTATGCAAGTCAAAAAGAAAAAAGGGCGACATGGGGGCGTTGAAAAGATAAGTTAGTGAAGTTAGAAGACCAATAGTTATTAAAGGATTAGTCACCAGGGTAACTGGAGTCCAACGATAGATTCCTTTTGGACATATGGGTGGGTTTTCAGCCGTTTTATTGCGATAACCTCAGCAAACCGAAGAAGACTTGAGCTATTTTGTCTGTTAATTATTTTGAATGATGCTAGCGCGTCTACTCGGAGTTCATTGTCTATCAGGTGTTTGATAATTGAAGACCTTAAACTAATTGACCCCTTTAACCGAAAGCTCCTTAGTTCATCTTCTAAGAATCTGACTTAGGCCTTTCTTTCTGTTCTTACGATGCAACTGCTCCCCTAGATACATGTGAATTGGTATACACAGTTGGAAGTAACATTTAAGGGAAACATGTCCATCTCTGATTGCACCAACTAGGGAGATTTTCAGAGCAGAGAGAGTAGTTTCGCTGTAGGATATGTTCTGGATAGGGTTGCGCTTAATCTTTTATTTATGATTATCATAGTACCGTCGCCTTTGAAGATGAGTTTGATGAAAACTGGCTGCTTGATGACCGTAAGTCCATCAGGTTTCTTACATTCATACTTACCATATCTGTCAATGAAATTTTGTGTATAACTACTTTTTTAGGGTGGTTCTCAAAGTAGCACTAGTTCACTGTCTAATTCTGCACCACTGTTCGTTCTTTCTCTGCTCAAATTTATAAAAGGAAATTCTTGTATGAGATTTTATTTCAGTGAATTCATACTGCTTGAATTACAGGCATCACTGTTTCTTGTCATTAAGTGATATGTAACAACAAGTATATATATATATATATATATTTGTATAAAGGCACAGACCGACCACAGTTATGGTACCATTGAAAAATATGAAGCGCTGGTTGGTTGTTTCTTCCCATTTCGGGACTATCAACTTGTGCACACTCAAGACCATACTAAGGATTCAGTTCAGATTCCTCAGGTTGTTGAGCAGTCTTCGGAATTCAATAGCCTATAAGCTCTAAATTCTGTCGATCTGTTGTAAAGCTCCACCTCCTCTCAAAATTATAAGCAGATATCTGTCTTTACATAGGATTTGATAGATCCAGCCATCACAAACTCTCTTTAGTACTACGGATACGCTACTGAGTCAATAATGACTAATAACCAGTGAATTCTCGCAAAATCAAAATGTCAGCATAAGAATATCTTGAGAAATACAATTAACACTATGAAAACCAATCATTTCTTGCTTTCTCAGTGGAACCTAGAGCTTCAGGCTTTGAAGTTTCAGTAGCGATGGTGTTTTTTCCCACGGGTTGAAGTTACTAGCTCCATACCTAACTATTCCTCTTTTTCGAGCTTACTACCGGATAAGCAAGATTTTGAAGTGCGTACACCAAGTACTACTGATTTTGAAGTTTCAGTAGCAGTATTCAGTGTATATCAGTTGAAAATTAAATAAACGGCAACACATCCATTTCATCTTTACTGTTAGTCAAAAACCAAACAAAAAGTCTATAATGTGCCCTGCGAAACAGAATTCTATCGGTCATGTTGTAGTTTCTGCTGCCTGTGAGTAAATATATAAGTAGTATATCGTGTTTTGTCTTCAGAAAAGTTACTTAAGAAGAAACTGGCGAATAAGGGGAGAACACTGGGAAGAGTTTAATTAGCAACAGACAGTGACAAATGAAAAATGTCTAATATAGAGCAGATGATTATAGATATTATTTTTATTTTTATTTTATTTTTTATTTTGGTTACAGCTTGATGCCACACCGTATTTTCAGTACAAGTATGGCATTTTCAGCATGGATATCGGTAGCCCAAATTCAGGCCGACCATAGATATCGGGTGTGCGCCGGCAGGGGCTCGAACCTCGGACCATGTGCATGGTCGGCGAGAGTCCTAACCACTGTGCCACTGGGAAGCAGACTGGGAAACCAGTATAAGATTTTCGATTTTCGTAATACCCAGTTTTCTAGACTACAAATTAGCCGTAATGAATCTTAGTGACTTACAGACTAGGAATCCTCTGGCTTATCATTTCCAACCCCTATAAATTCATGATATTGGATGAGTAAGTGTCCTTATAAATGATTTGGTTAACTTTCCATCGTACGTTCTCATTAAAATTTGGAAAATCGGCCGTAAAGGTTAATTATCACTAGTTAAGTATTGTAGGTTTGTTGATTACTGACTGATTTCGAGATTGGTTACATTAGTTAGATCCCTGAAAACCAGAAAGTACTAGACAGCTGTTTCGTTCATCAGTACACACCCACAACCCCACCAGGAATTGAACCTGGGACTATCATGTTACAAGGCCAGCTGATCAATCATTCAGCCACTGAGACAGAAATCAACGGTCCCTGAAATCTGAACTACGCCATTTCGCTGCGTTAGCACGGCCGCAAAACAATGCCATAGGTGATTGCTTGACCTCATAGCTGACTTGTGTGGTGCCTACTACTGAACAATCCCAGACTAGGACGAATTAGCTGTCCAGTACCCCATAGTTTTCAGCTTTTCTTCTAACTGGCAACAATTCGCGATCAAAATTGAAATCAGTCAGATTCCTGCAATTCAGCCTATGATTTTAAGACATTGTTCGAACTCAGCCTTTCGTGTTCCATGCCGAACTATACTTATTATATAGTAGTCGGTGAAATACTGATCTTCTATAGTTTGGTTTGTAAGGATTAGTTATGTTTTACGAGTTGATCACGGACTGATATCAGTTAGAGAACCATTGAAAACCAGGGAGTACTGGACAGCTGCTGTTTCATCCTAGTTTGGAAATCATCGGCAGTACGCACCCACTGGGATTCGAACCCGGGACCTTCCGATTACAAGGCAAGCTCGTATACCATTCAGCCACTGGGACCCGATTCAATGGCTCATGAATTCTAACTTCTACCAATTCGTGATTTTAGTTTTCAATGGTTCTCTAACTGATATCAGTCCGTGATCAACTTGTAAAACATAACTAATCCTTACAAACCAAACTATAGAAAATTATTCTGATCCTCGCTAGTGACTTGCTACAGGTTGGAGCTTCCTGGAGTTCTAGTGAGAAGTCGTGACCAGTGAGGTCCAATTAGATGTCACGTGTGGATGGATTTCCACCAACGACAATAGTTGGGGTCGCGCTAAAATCACGAATTGGTAGAAGTTAGAATTCATGAGCCATTGAATCGGGTCCCAGTGGCTGAATGGTATACGAGCTTGCCTTGTAATCGGAAGGTCCCGGGTTCGAATCCCAGTGGGTGCGTACTGCCGATGATTTCCAAACTAGGATGAAACAGCAGCTGTCCAGTACTCCCTGGTTTTCAATGGTTCTCTAACTGATATCAGTCTGTGATCAACTCGATATACTGATCTGTTGCCGAGATTGCGATAGACGGAGCAGTACTCGAACTAGAGGCTGATTGGCTGAAAGCCGACTACTTAAACCAGTGGCGCAGACTTCAAGGTGATTCCATTGTGAAATACATTTACTTAAATAACTCATTAGTGCAAACAGTTGAAATTCCGTAAGCATCAATGCCATTTAGAATGTAGCCTATAAATTCATAGTGGTGTGATGTAATATACAGGTCATTTTTAAATAGTTTTTTATGTTCTATTATTATGTTCTACTATTCTCTTGAACAATGCATTGTATACTACTACACATAGACACTGAGACAATAGGTGAACAGATATACATAGTAGGCTTCAAGTATATATTTATGATGGTGAAAATTATGTAAGGTTTTACTTTTTCCTTATGTTTGCTGTATACTGCTATATGATGTCAGTAATCACCTCCAATGTATATTACTGTCATCATAATACAAATGTAGTAACTTGTAGTTGTTATATTGACCTCGTTTTTTCTAAATAATTGCCATTGAAAGTCAAGGAATTTGTATTGAAGCCAGCATATCTTATTTATTTATTTATTTATGGTTAACTCTTTGTGTATTCCTTCGTTATTATGTGTCATTCTTTGCTGAAATCACGATCATTTCTATAATAGATATTATACAGCTATACTGTGCTGTGCTACACGCGCACACCTTAATACTATAAGGTAAAAACACATGAGTGCTGTATATTGAGCACAGTACACATCACACACATACATATATATGTACGTGTATATGCACATGAAGAACACGCCACGTCTGAATAGGTTATTGAGAAAAGAAAAGAAAGGGTATTCAACCAATCACTGAATTATAAATCATGCTTACTTATAATTTAAATATATACATATGAGATAATAAGTCTTTATTATCCAAAAGATAAATCAGACTCAATAAAAAAAAAATTTAAAATTAATCATAATCATAATCATATCAGTAATACTACTACTTCGTTGGATTAATATTCAATCAATTCTATCCACCTGGGAATAATCTACTTCTCACCATAGATCACTCTGAGGATAAGACGAGTTAAAATTTTATAAAAATGACTGGAAGACTGTTTAATCCACAGCATTTACACTTTCCATTATTAGCCTTATCGATCGGTTTATTAGGCTATGCCCTAGCTACTGCTGATTGGCCATGCGGAAATTTATTCACTCAATGCTTTAAAACACTGCCGATATTAATTGTGATCATACTATTAGCCGCAGGTGTCGGTGGATTGGGATTAATATTTTTAATTGATTTATTCGGTGCTTGTAGTAGTAAATGGATACCGGGACCAGTGTGTACAACGATTAAATTATTAATATTATTTGTTTCAGCAAGTGCAGTACTCACAGGTAATTTATTGTATACTTATTGGAAATTGCCCTATTGGTCGTATACATTTTCATTGATTGGCAGTGTAACAGCTTCACAGGTTGTTATCCTAGCTGTAATCAACTGCAGATGTTTAGGATCAAAACTTTAGAAGTTTTTTAAATTCTATTGTGTAAATGTATGAATGAGTTTGTGTATTTATTTTTACTTATTTTATTTATTTTATTATTAACCTCAATGATTCAATGATGTATTTTGATTGTAATCAACAAGAAAAATATGGCTAAGTCTTTCATTATTATTTACATACATATATCCATCTATTCCTCCTTGAATAGCCTTACAGACAATCTGTTTATTTGTAATGCAAAAATACAAACCTTATTACATCTTTGTGTATAACAGTACAGTATTCAAGTGACTCATTTGTCTTCTACAGACTTTTTTTCTCTGGATTTTCAGCCTTCTCATTGCTTTTCTCCTTTTTCGATCTTATCGTTGGTATGGCGTGTTCCAATCTTCTTTTTTTTGCTTATCCCTTCAACTGTCACTTTGTGTTGGTTGGTTGTATTAACTCACTTTACAAAAAAAAGAACAACAACTTTCAACATAGACTGAAAGAGAACAAGTAAAGTAGAAATCTGTGTATAATATCGCATATAATTCATAAATTCATCATCTTGACTGGTGAAGAAGACGAAGAAGAAAACGCTTTGTATACACTTATCTCAGTATTATCAATAATTCTCACTATCTTATTTATGTTTTGTTACTGATAAGTGAAATTTGTTTGAATTACAATTAATATTTTCCTTTCTTTTTTGAAGACATGCTTTGGTTGTTGCTTTATAAATCAGCTGAATGGATAACACTGTGTTGTCTGACTGAATAAGAATGGCGTCTATCACACCTAATGTTACAATGCCTTATTTGTCCGACAGATATATTTAGGATTCTTAGTTTCCTCATCGGTCACTTCTAACGAAGAACATCCTAGATTGAAGCTGTCTTATGATATTGATTTTTCAAGGGATTTTGTTTGATTGCATGGAGGATTTCATTATGAGCTGACATTAGTTAGAGAATTGTTTTTTATTCGGAAATATGAATATATGAACACTAGCATTCTTTGATAATGATTGGCAGTGTACTCTCTCTCTCGCTCTCTCTGTATCTCAGACACTATTTTTTTCACTTTAATACTCAATCTATTGAGCCAAAGACATAGTACACGTTGTTATAAGGGTCACGTGACTTCAATTTCATCATCATTAAAAAGTAAGGCGGATTTTTGACTGTACTGCTAATCAATAGCATATAGTCTTAGCTACTGCTGAGAAATCTACAAGGGACTGATGCACAGATATGAGCTAATCAGTTGAGTAGTGAATGCTAACAGTGAAATGAAAATTGTGCTGTAAATGTTTCAAAGGCAGCTGTTCTCACTTCCACATTACGATATGTATATCAATGTTACTATAGACAGATCGGCTGAGCTTAATTCATGAACCTCAATGAATCTCGAAATGCCCGATTTTCAAGTGTTGAACCTCAAGCTACAGCCATGCCTTGCTTCCTGTTGACTGACTCATAAGACCTGATCGACTGTTTTAAGAATTACTGCCTTTCCTTGCTTTTACAATCATTTTACATAGGTGCACTTGACACTGGATGGTTGTAGGAACTGAGTATAATAATTTCAAAAGCACAAGCTTTAAAGCTGATAGTTCAACAAAAAACATTACTTAGGTATCTGGAGTTATCTGCTACGGCTACCAGAAAACGCTCCACTTAAATTACCCGTTTTGAAAGTTACAAAGATGGTTATCAACAATACATCTTAGTTCTCCACTTGATAGTTTTAAAATCAATACTACGAGGTAAGTTATAGTGTCCTACAGGTAATATTTGTTGAATAAAAGGGTTAAAATACGTATACTGTGGTGGTATGTAACCGCACACTGGTTAGTTTAATGAGCATATTATGCAATAAAACACTATTATTGATTAAGTCACGTTTTGAACACAGTCTGTTATCTACACAGTAACTGTAAATATACAGTTTTGCAACCCACTTTTACAGTCCTCGTTCTACTTGGCAATTTTTCCTAAGGGTAGTAAAATTTTCCAGATGTCCGGGATAGGTGCTGCATCACACCTACTGCACTATTGTCCGTTGATTTGATAAATGAAGCTAGCTGTACATGTCAGTTTCTCCCTCTGCTCTGTTACATTCGACTTGGGACTTTCACTTTGTCCTGTCCTATTTTATGGTCATATACAACTGTATGTGGGTGAACATTCTAGCAGGGCGTACTAGTCTAGATTTCTGTAACATCCTAAGGCACAGTAGAATGAGACATTATGACAGTTCTGATCTGTAATATAACACAGTCGAGGGCAACATTAAAAACTGAAGCTTTATGTGTCGAATCAACTGAAAATACTTGTAGTTTGAATTTTTAATAATTTTGATTTAATAATGATTTGCTTTATTCCCAAACAGTAAGTATGATACAGTGTAGAATTTTCAGCATTTCGTACAGTCTTGGATCTAATTTACTGAAGAACAACAAGAACAGAAGGAAATAAATCACAGGGTACACTTAACCAAAATTGTTAACAGAATCTTTTAATTTCGAAATGTACAACTGTAAAACAGTAAAAATAATACTGGTAACACAACATTATAAGACAATTGGGATAGTGTCACCATAATATCAGTAATATGGGAGAATAACTGAGCCATTTTTTATGCTTATTATTATCTAGTAAATCGTAAGTTTCTCACTTAACACTATCTTTATCACATAGAATGATTTAACGCCTGTTCAAGACATCTGGAATATGCTACTAAACTTACAACTTATGGGCATTTAGAACAAGAATCATAAAAATGAGTTTTGCAGTTGTGGAGTTACATCTGATGTGAATATAAACTTACAAATTGTGCTCGAAACGACATACATTAAACAAAACTATTTCAGCAAGTTGATAAAAAATAACGATGATCCGAGCATAAAGTTACTATTCAGAAGTTTCATGGACTGTAAGCGATTTTAAGTAAGGATGTTATGTGAGTTTATAGTATTCTGCTGTCTTAATTTTTCTTTTAAAATTCATAAAACACTAACTGAACATAAAAACTTTTTCACCTAAAAATCTTTTTCATTTTCTAACTGAAGTTTACCCAGTTGATCAACAATAATCGTCAGTCACTTTTTCTGACGTAAACTCTGACTCTGACATAAACGACTATCCACCAGGATCCAGTTGAACTGCGTTTTCTGTCCTGTATTTTCACAAGAACTAGGCATACAATCTTCTGATACTAGGAAGTTGAATTTCACATATTTCCCATGTTTCTTAGATGAGGTTAAGTGAATAATCTTAACCCAATCGATGGCTGCTACCTTTTAACGTTTAACATTCTACGTACGGACGTTAAGACAGTCTGGTATCACTCAGTCTCCACTTTTTAAGTTTGTTAACTGTTGTATTCTGCTTATTCGTCTCTATTGCTCCTCCTTAATCTTTACTGGGCTACCTACGAAAGACTTTGTTACACTGCGAAGGGCACTAAAGGCTATCAGTAGGGCTGGTAGGGTGTCAATAAACCAACATGCCAATACTGTTTTAGACAGATACGCGGACTCATACAAGGAATTAGTGAATATTATCTTGTCAGACCCTCAGAATATTCTCCATACACAATTCTTTCCTTATATCTCATCAGGTAGAACTAGAAGCAACTATAGGAGACTTTACATTAAGACGTCTAAGTATAAAAACTCTACAGTACATTATTTCACACACATTTTGAGGAAACTGTAAGGCTAAGACACTGTCAGCTTACTGCGAAACACTAAGTAAACGGCCCTCTTTTTATCATATTCTTGTTAATATTTTCACTTAGTTCAATTTTATCTTCAAATTCATAATGAATAATATCATCAATGTAAATACCCTGTTTCAATTATTACCCCTGTAAATGAGAATATTAAATGTAACAGTGTACTACCTGCTGAAAATTCCATCTTTGTACCAAAATACTGTTGGGAATAAAGCTGTTATTATTACCCTAACTTATCAGAGTGAGACGAGCTGCAATAGCTGAAAAGAATGTTCATGCATGTAGGATTTTCTAGTTCCATAATCAATGACTACCAGCTGCAATTGGTAGTTAGGACTTTTGATCTTCGGAAGATTAATTTCATTAGAATATTTTTCCGTCCTCTGTAATAATTCTAAACTTCTGAGTCTTATAATTACATGTGTGATAATGACTTCACTACTCACTATGCAAAACTGATTTACAGAAAACGTAGCATACCCCGTTAACCGGTCTTAAGTACGTATAACAACTCACAGTTGTGCACCAGCATACTGATGCGATTACCTTCATAAAAACGTTTACAAATAAGTTTAGCACTGATAAAGACTTCAATCCATTGCTTCTAGTTTATCATCCTTTAACATTTTTATTCAGTTTAAACTTACGTTTCGTTTCATTCATTCATTCATCCAACTATAGTAACTGTTGAAATACATTGTAACATAACCCTAACATTCTCGTGTAGCGTTACATTGCTCACCTTACATTGGCCTTATTTATCTCACTTTCCTGTTTGATTTTGCCGTACAACTCATATGAACATCAAAATGTATTTACTGCTGTGAGTTCATACCTCACCTATGCAGAATATACTTACCTGATGACCTCTGTTAATATTTAAAAACTTGTTTTCTTTATCTCTAATCGTCATCTTTTATGCTTAAATTTCATAATCTCATTTTTTTTTCTGGAAAGAAGTTTCATCAACATGTATTTCAGTCCAGAATGAAAAATAAAGTGAGGTAGTTCTAACAAAACACACAAAGTAATATTGGTTTTGGTAAATGAACTCAGTGAGAAAAATATACTTTAAATTAGTATTTTTAAATCATTTACTTACGTTGAATGGACTGTTATGAACACA